GGGGGAAGCTTCCTTGAAGAAGCGCTCGCACCAATTAATGATTTGGTTACATTTGGTTCTTAGATTTTTGGGGACACTTAATCCTCGGCCTGTGTATCACGATCCCCATCGCTAACCCAAACTTTCTTTGATGAACTTTGCGCTTACCTTCAGGCAGTTCTTAAAAACAAACAACATCTAATCTACTGCCCAGGAAATCCTCTTTGGCTCTTGACCACCGCTGGTTCAGTGCAAACGTTCAGGAACTTCTTGCTTCCTGATCTGTATAACATGAAGGGATCTCGCATATTCTCTGTCAACAAGATTAAGCACAATTCCGTACCACAAAACTATCCGTTCTTCAAGCACATTCGCCCTGGGCACTCCAGGAGTATGACTGCAGATGGAAAAGCTGATGATGGGGCCATCGGGAGACCGCGAAAATTCCATGTGCCCAGTATGAGTGATCACAATACAAAATGTTTCCCAGCATCTTTGCAGTATTCCCAGCATCTTTGCCCTGCTTGGCTTCCCGGCCGCCTTCTTCTTGGGCTTAGGCTTGTGAGCCTTGTTCAGCAGTGAGATGCTTGAATTTCCATTGCTCACCAAAATGGTTCCCCAAATCTTATACTTATGCTGAATCCACCACACAAAACAAATCAAAACAATGTTGTCTCCGTTGTCTCCCCACATCGATTCTGCCACGACTCTCCCACTCGAGAGACTGCACGATGCAGCTTGTCCACCACCCAGACTCTGGATTATTGATCAGTGGTGCTTACATTGCATCGAACAATACTGAGTATATACATATTACAGTGTATAACAATATATTATATACTTACATACAGTAACAATATTGTAGGAAAGCAGCAAATATGATGGAATCTGTCTATGAGACTCGGGCTATTCATGTACTTTGCTGCTGCAAACTAATCCAACTTACACCTGGTGCTGCCTGGCTCAAAACCGGAACCACCCGGGTGAAAACAAACTGGTCAGCTACATCACTTTTCTTGGCTAGGACCTAAATGGGAGCCATCTACCGTTGAGTAGTGGAGGGTCGCCCTGCATATCAATGGGGTCACTCCAAAACAAAGTGCCATGCCTAGCGCTCTTCGGTCTCACTGGCATGGCCTACCTCAGGAGGCTTCGCAACGTGCTCCGGCTTGATCGTTGCAGCATCAACCACCTGAGAACAATATGGATGGACATGAAACAATGAAACACAAAAATATGGATGTCGAATCTTGATCCAACATTCATTGGCTGCAACATGTGGTGTCTTGTGGCTGTATTATGGATGCTAAGAAAATGACGCCCATGGTCAGGGACGGCTTCAGGAGCTTGTCCATGATATCCTGCAGTTCTGTGTCGGAGTCAATGTGCTTTCTACATCCAATGCAGCAAACTCATGCCTTTCCTATACTGATCTTTGGTCCTTGGGGTGGATCGGATCGAAGATGGCCGTGGCGTCCATGCCGGCGGCGTCGGTAATGAGCTTGGCGCCGCCCGGATGGACCTTGGCGAACTTGGTCAAGTCGTAGGCCTGCGCGTCCCATGACCAGGCGAGGAAGGGGCGAGGCGGTCACAAGGAACAACGGTATCAAGGCGCTGTAGCTCCAGAGAAAATGGAGAACCAGGTTAATGAGCTTGTGACTTGTGATTCCATGGATTTTGCATTATCCTACTCTTTAAAGGCTTGTACTATACAGTGTGTTATACAGAGAAACAAAGAGAGAGGGAGAGAGAGGGAGAAATGGACTGTTCTGTCTGGCTCAGGACTTCTTGCAAGACCGTTGCTTTAGCTCGCAATGTAGCAGCTGCCTTGCCGTAAAGGACGACCCAACAGTCTTCCTGGCGAGCATGTTTCTGAGCGGCTCGTGACGTGCGCTCTGTGTTGAGTTGAATTTCGTCATCACGGTGTTGCGAGAAATTCACCTTGAGGAGAACGCAACAAGAAACACGCATACCTTCAGATGCTGGAAGCCTGATCTTTCAGCCATTCAATTGTACATTCTGACCGTATGAGACCATGTAATCTAGGTCAGCCAACAAAATGGCTTTCAACCGTTGATGAGATGCTCTGCCACGAACGCACAAAACGGTCGTTACATTTTCATCAATATCGAACCCACACAGGAAAACTGACAAATTGTCCACTCCTTGGTGTTGTGCTTGGCCACCTCCTCCATAGTCAGAACCTGCGAGGGTAAGCAAGCTAGCATCTAGAATGAAAAACTTTTTGCGAATGGTGCTCTGTTCAAAAGGCTCGACTGATGCAATGCCAAATTCTTGCAATGGAAAAAATAAACATGTAAAAAAAGGTCGGAAGCAATCTGGTGCAGGCTCATTTTGATTCAAATCATTATTCTGGTTTAAGTTCCAAGGCTTCAGCAGAAAGCCATTTGGGTGGGATGACCCTGCCTTATCAGAAGCCATGGCAACAATGTACAATGTACTGGTTGAATTGGTATCAAAGCAGTGCACCAAAGTAAAAGCTTGAACCCAAAACAATCACGAAGAGCTGGACTGCAATAGCTATGAATCGTCAAATTGGCTGGTTGCAACTAGGCCAACTAATTTGCCAGTCAAAGCAACAGGACGAGTCCGAAATGTTTGAATACCCAATTAGAGGATTTCTTGTGACTTCTTTCGGTTGAATCGCTTTTATCGGTCGGTCGAGTCTGGGTCAGGAGGAGATCGCTGCACAGTTGGCAGAAGAAAAGTGCGCTGAACCATTTAGATGCCCAAATCCTCAAGTGAGAAAGAAGTTATATAGCACATGTGATATATGGGCATATGGGATAATTACTTATATAAGAGATTATGAGAGACTCATGTCACATTGCCCAGTCCTCTTGGACACAAAAGTGATATCGATTGACAATAAAAAGGCATCCACATGATCCAGCACGGCATGCTGGTTTCAGTCTAGCTCGCTGCGTTTGTCTCTCTACTTTTATTTTATCTACTGTCCTTTCTACAAGCAGCATTCGTTCTTTCTTTCAGCGAGATAGGTCTGGGTGCAAAAGGTCAAGGGAGGTATAGAAGCAATCCAAGTTGGAGAAGCACTGTTGAGTGATTTGCTTTGGGACAGGATGTTGTCTCCTTCTAAAGACCTTCTGCCAAAGCTATGGACAGGAAAATTCATCAACAGTCAGTCTGTTGTAGAGAGGCGTACGTCACACACGTAACGCCCTATGTCCTGCACTGGTCGTGAGCATTCAGAAGTAAATTCTTCTCACACAACCCGCATCAAAAAGGCAATGACAGCTCACACTGCCTAATCATGAGCCCAATCATTGGCATAGCATTTTCTTTACTTCTGACAGGTGGAGGTCCTGGCATCTGGTTCAGATGCTGCATAAGGCCTGCACGGCCAGCATGGACTTTTTGCCTGTCAAACCAGTGGAGCAAGGAAGGGGCTTCAGACTGGCGTATTTGTGACTTTCTGCGCTTTTCATGGCAGTCTTCATGTGTGCAACGTTGCTAAGCTGGAGGAGTTGTCACCCTTGGTGCAAGATCACCTACGCACAAAGGAAGCTTTGTGAAAGGGTGCCGATGCATGCAGACCTGTCACAAGAGAAGCCTCCGCCGCGTGACCTAGCTTGTCTGGATACAAGATGATACAAGCACATAGTATAAAACTGTATAAGATAGTCCTCACAAATTGTAAAAGACCGGAATTGTGTAAGCTGCTGTAGTGGAAAAATTGGGTGTACAAGGATTGCTGCCGAGCCTTTATTTAGAGCTTTGCTGCTGGCTCCAATCCCTGGTAGGTCTTCATGGTGAGGTTGTCCACCGGCAGCGGCACGATGTGGTCAGCCAGGTTGGTGGTAATGACATGCTTCTCTGTGATGGAGGGGATGTTGGGAGTACCGGCCAAGCGCATGACCATCTGCAGCTCATCCTGCAGCATGTGGACCATGCGGACGATACCATTCTGGCCGTAGGAAGCCAAGGAGTACAAGACTGGACGTCCAACTCCGCAGGCTTGAGCACCCAGGGCAACAGCCTTGAAGATGTCACCGCCACGTCGAACACCACCGTCAATGAAAACAGCAAAGGTCTCCTTGGTCGCCCCTGCCTCCTTGAGGGCTTCCATGACCTCAGGCAGAACCTCAATACCAGGACGGCAAGTGTCCAGCTGACGACCACCGTGATTGGACAAGACGCAGCCAGACAAGCCAGCCTTGAATGCCATCACTGCATCTTCCGCGCACTGCACACCCTTCAGCAACACCTTCATGGAAGTGATCTTCTTGAGCCATGGCACGTCCTCCCAGTTGAGGCCAGGATCGATGTAGCTGCTAATGGCGCGGGTGGCGCCCTGAGAACGGTCCACACCACCCTCCTCCTCTTCATCACCCTGCACATCAGATCCCTGCTGGGTGAACTTGTTGCGCATGTCCTTCTCACGTCGCCCGAGCTGAGGAGCATCCACGGTGACGAACAATGCCTGGACACCAGCCTTCTCCAGTTTGGCGACATACTCCTCGGACCGAGACCTCTCAGGGTTCACGTAGAGCTGAGAGAACACCACCTGGTCTGGTGTGCGCGCAGCCAACATCTCATCCAAGGTGTAGGAGCTCAGGGTAGGCAGCATGTATGGGACACCCGCCTTCTTGGCTGCCTGCAAAGGCAAAGGTGCCAAGCAACCAGTAGCAGTAGCAAGCAAGAGCTTCTGTGAGAATGTGTGTGGTCTTACTCAAGTAGCGGAAAACAAATGAGGGGACTGTGGGCAGTAAAGTCCTTAGAGGCAACCTCTTATCTAGCTCAGCCATTTATTTACAGTAGTCCATGAACATTTACCTGCCCTTTTTGGCATCGAGCATGAGAAAATGCAGCTCTGCTCATCACTTGGCCTTCACGATAGCCAGCTCACCCTCCTGGCGGCATCTTCTTCGTATGTTTCGTCCATCTCTCCTACAAATCGCCCTGGGAATGAGTTCTGTGCGGAGACCAGTCTGAGTATCCAGTAGCTGCCCCAAGTCCAGGTCATAGCGACTTGCAGTGTCTGAAAGATTCTGAAAGCTTACAATGAGACTTGTGTACAAAATCTACATGAAATGAGACTTTGAAGGGTCTCATGTTGCCCAAACTAACCACACTCTTCAGCACTCTTTGTTGCCTGGTGAGCCAACTTGGCCAAGGCAGTGGCAGTGAAGTACAACGGCAAGGCAGCCGGGACGTTGAGGATCTTCCTTGGTTTGCACGCGTGGAACACGGGCTTCTACGCTCGGCACGTCTTTAAGGATCTTTAAGGCATTCAAAACCGATGAAGAACAATACCGATGAACTGACAAAAACTCTTGTTATATACTGTCAAAAGCTCTCTCCAGTACTACCAGGCCTTAGATCGCTTGGTAGGTAGGCCAAGATTCGTGGTCATGTCGATCTCGCGGACATTCACGAGAATACGCGGGCGCATGGTGATCCTGAAGGGCAAGGACAAACATTCCGACTAACTTGGCTTTTGATTATTCAGTATCCATCAATATCATAGTCAAGCGGGAGATCACACAGCGCTTAGACGTACGTATCTAAGAGCACCTCTGCCTAGCCGGAGGGTGCGTTGTTCTTTCGAATCTTTCGTTGCTACTCATGGTCAGCTGTAACTGGCAAGACAGGGGAAGCATGCATGGGCACTTGCTTCGCACTGTGGACTTAGTTGGGATTAGGGAGTTTAGGCATAATTGCTTATTGGTCAAACTTTGTGGGGAGCCTTGGGCCTCAGGTGGGCAGTGGACTCTACACTTGTATCAAAGAGGGGTGTCTTCAGGCGTCTTCAGCTTCTGAGTAGGAGCGGGCTACACTTAGCAGGCTCTTCATCGACACAACTCTGTATGTGTGTGTCTGTGTCACACCCTGCACGGAGAATTCGCACTGACCATTCGTAACCATCATTTTCTGTACACTGTATGGCTGCAGGGGGCAACGACTGTCACGCAACGATTACATGTTGTCCTCGGACACTTATGGACTATTTTTGAAACTCCAAGTCGGAATAGCAGGCCTTTTCAATCAGTGCGAGGCAAGTCCGTGTTGATGGGGGACGGCTTCAATTGAAAGGTTTACAGAGAGATTCTAGCAGTGTCAACTGCTCTCTATTGCCATTGTGCGATGAAATACGCGCATCATCCAGTGCGCCATCCCACCTCTGAAAGGCCAAGTGGTTGTCGCGCAAAGTGATCTCATCATCACCTTCGCAGGAAAAAGCGCCACCGACCATCGACATGCACAACTCAGTGGCTCGTTGGCCATGGCACTGAGTCAGCTATGCCCCAGCTCATATCGGCTCAAACACCTTGATTCTGAGGTTAAGACCTCCACTGGAATAGTATCCCCATGCCTGTGGCTCCATGACCTGCAGGAAGGCAATCTGCCGAGTTCCCTCGCACGACAAATCATTGTCTCTTCACCTTGCCTCCCGTGCCACCGATTCGAAGTCAAAGCTGTTGAGCATGGCCTCAGCCAAGCAGTGAAGCTTTCAAGATTCAAGACTGCAGTTTTGGGGAGGGCAATGTTGGAGACACCCAGCACATAAACTGAACACCTCTTGGTCAGTGATATGCCTAGTTTTTGGAGCATGCCAATATCAAGAGCCTCAGGCTCGGTATGGCCTAACAGCAATGATGACATGCTTATACCTGTGCTTGCCTAGCAACTGCCAAAGGAGGCTTCTTGAACTCCTCAACCTCCTCCTCAGCAGCATCTGCCTTCACCTCAGCGCTTGAACAGGCTGTGGCCAAGAATGTATTGCTTAAAGGTGTCTCTATTCGACATCTTCGCATGGATGGGATTCAAAAGCTGCAGAAACTTACGAGTCTTGCGGGCCTTCTCGAAAGTCCAAAGCGAGTAGCGACACACAGATTTACATACAGAAATTGCCGAACCTTGACTAGATGGTTGGAGAGATTCTTTCTATAAGCATCTACTTAAGCATTTGTTTAACGGGGGGTAGGCCACGGAGGCCGCTAGAGGCAGGAATAGTTTGTAGCTAAAGTAGCTACTACCGACAGGACGCAGGATAGCTCGCGCTTCTTCAAGGAAACTCCCCACAGGGCGGCGGGGGAAGCTTCCTTGAAGAAGCGCTCGCACCAATTAATGATTTGGTTACATTTGGTTCTTAGATTTTTGGGGACACTTAATCCTCGGCCTGTGTATCACGATCCCCATCGCTAACCCAAACTTTCTTTGATGAACTTTGCGCTTACCTTCAGGCAGTTCTTAAAAACAAACAACATCTAATCTACTGCCCAGGAAATCCTCTTTGGCTCTTGACCACCGCTGGTTCAGTGCAAACGTTCAGGAACTTCTTGCTTCCTGATCTGTATAACATGAAGGGATCTCGCATATTCTCTGTCAACAAGATTAAGCACAATTCCGTACCACAAAACTATCCGTTCTTCAAGCACATTCGCCCTGGGCACTCCAGGAGTATGACTGCAGATGGAAAAGCTGATGATGGGGCCATCGGGAGACCGCGAAAATTCCATGTGCCCAGTATGAGTGATCACAATACAAAATGTTTCCCAGCATCTTTGCAGTATTCCCAGCATCTTTGCCCTGCTTGGCTTCCCGGCCGCCTTCTTCTTGGGCTTAGGCTTGTGAGCCTTGTTCAGCAGTGAGATGCTTGAATTTCCATTGCTCACCAAAATGGTTCCCCAAATCTTATACTTATGCTGAATCCACCACACAAAACAAATCAAAACAATGTTGTCTCCGTTGTCTCCCCACATCGATTCTGCCACGACTCTCCCACTCGAGAGACTGCACGATGCAGCTTGTCCACCACCCAGACTCTGGATTATTGATCAGTGGTGCTTACATTGCATCGAACAATACTGAGTATATACATATTACAGTGTATAACAATATATTATATACTTACATACAGTAACAATATTGTAGGAAAGCAGCAAATATGATGGAATCTGTCTATGAGACTCGGGCTATTCATGTACTTTGCTGCTGCAAACTAATCCAACTTACACCTGGTGCTGCCTGGCTCAAAACCGGAACCACCCGGGTGAAAACAAACTGGTCAGCTACATCACTTTTCTTGGCTAGGACCTAAATGGGAGCCATCTACCGTTGAGTAGTGGAGGGTCGCCCTGCATATCAATGGGGTCACTCCAAAACAAAGTGCCATGCCTAGCGCTCTTCGGTCTCACTGGCATGGCCTACCTCAGGAGGCTTCGCAACGTGCTCCGGCTTGATCGTTGCAGCATCAACCACCTGAGAACAATATGGATGGACATGAAACAATGAAACACAAAAATATGGATGTCGAATCTTGATCCAACATTCATTGGCTGCAACATGTGGTGTCTTGTGGCTGTATTATGGATGCTAAGAAAATGACGCCCATGGTCAGGGACGGCTTCAGGAGCTTGTCCATGATATCCTGCAGTTCTGTGTCGGAGTCAATGTGCTTTCTACATCCAATGCAGCAAACTCATGCCTTTCCTATACTGATCTTTGGTCCTTGGGGTGGATCGGATCGAAGATGGCCGTGGCGTCCATGCCGGCGGCGTCGGTAATGAGCTTGGCGCCGCCCGGATGGACCTTGGCGAACTTGGTCAAGTCGTAGGCCTGCGCGTCCCATGACCAGGCGAGGAAGGGGCGAGGCGGTCACAAGGAACAACGGTATCAAGGCGCTGTAGCTCCAGAGAAAATGGAGAACCAGGTTAATGAGCTTGTGACTTGTGATTCCATGGATTTTGCATTATCCTACTCTTTAAAGGCTTGTACTATACAGTGTGTTATACAGAGAAACAAAGAGAGAGGGAGAGAGAGGGAGAAATGGACTGTTCTGTCTGGCTCAGGACTTCTTGCAAGACCGTTGCTTTAGCTCGCAATGTAGCAGCTGCCTTGCCGTAAAGGACGACCCAACAGTCTTCCTGGCGAGCATGTTTCTGAGCGGCTCGTGACGTGCGCTCTGTGTTGAGTTGAATTTCGTCATCACGGTGTTGCGAGAAATTCACCTTGAGGAGAACGCAACAAGAAACACGCATACCTTCAGATGCTGGAAGCCTGATCTTTCAGCCATTCAATTGTACATTCTGACCGTATGAGACCATGTAATCTAGGTCAGCCAACAAAATGGCTTTCAACCGTTGATGAGATGCTCTGCCACGAACGCACAAAACGGTCGTTACATTTTCATCAATATCGAACCCACACAGGAAAACTGACAAATTGTCCACTCCTTGGTGTTGTGCTTGGCCACCTCCTCCATAGTCAGAACCTGCGAGGGTAAGCAAGCTAGCATCTAGAATGAAAAACTTTTTGCGAATGGTGCTCTGTTCAAAAGGCTCGACTGATGCAATGCCAAATTCTTGCAATGGAAAAAA